TCAGATGAATCAACAAGTGCTGAAGAACCTCTTTTTCTGCGTTCCTACCTGATCTTGTGTTCGTACCCCCTACATATCGGTCCTGGGTAGGCACGGATGAGCTCCCCCAAAGGTTATAAACGCTGTAAAAGAGCTCATATGTAATGAAATCTAGTGAGTGGAGCCGGTTTATTAGAGCAACAATGGCGAGTGTTTAGACTGGGGGTGCAAAATGGTTAGGTGGGGACAGAGAGGGTGAGACGGGCTTTGTTTAGATGGGAAGAACAATGGATGTCCTCCTGGGTGGGGGTGTGGGGGGGCTTGTCTGACTGCTTCAGCTCTCACTCAGCCAGTTTTTCAGTTTCTACAACCTTCAGGACAAATATTCAGAGGGACAATGTATCAGAGAAACTGATCATCAGTATTTGTTCCTTTGTTTGTTTAACCGGGACGGCACACGTTAACGAACACACGAGGTTCGTGTTTGTAAACACGCCGGATTTTAGCCAAAGGCTCAGAGAGGGAACTCGCAGAAACTGTGACGGGGAGCATGAACGGTCTCGGAGAAAAATACTTGCTGAAATTTTAAAAGTTCTCATAAAAAGCCAAAAGTGCAAATCATCCTGCGAGGTGAAAAATCACACAAGAACCGCCTAAACAGGGTATCCGCGGGTCCTTAAAAAGTCTTAAATTTGCTTTTCCAAATTTAAGACCTTAAAAATCCTTAAAAATGACAAATAATCCTTAAATACAGTTTCCAAATGTCTTAAATTACCAAAGACGCAATAAACTAGATTCTTTTATTTCTATTAAAATTTTGCGAATTCCTAGTAAAGCATTTTTTGTGTATGACATTGGCGTAAGTGGAACCGTACACATTCAGCTGGTTGTGAAAGGGGGCTATTTTTAGATGAGCACATTAGCTGGTTAAGCTAGTGGGAGCTTGTGCCGTGGGGAAGCGCACGTTTAATGGTAACTGGATGGCTAATCCCACCTTTGCGACGTGGTTAGCATCAGTTCCAGGCAATAGTTGGAAATTATAGCTTAAATTAAATTTTTAAAAATAGCTTAAATTTGGTCAAAGTGGCCTTAAAAAAGGTCTTAAAAAGTCTTAAATCTGGTTCCCTTAAACCTGCAGATACCCTGCTAAAACAAATAAAATAATAGAACTAAATACGGCCTAACGTGTGCGACCGAGCTGCGTAGGAGGAAGTAAAAGACGATTAAAGCTAAATGTGTGACACTTGTGGATGAAGTCTGCAGAAACGAATAAGTAAATTTAGCTTTAAAGCTGCAGCGAGTTGGGTTTTCTCACAAAGTAACTGGAGTCCTTCTCCACAGGTGCCCACCTCTGAGAGACATGACCTCTGCTAGTCATCCCATCAGTTTTCCTGGGAATGGAGATTTAAAAGAGGCTGCTACATGTCGGAATAAAGGAGCCAGAGCTGAGATGGTTTCACTCTGGATTACCTCCGATCTGTTTATTGGCTCGCCTATATGTCAGCTTCTGTGTTTGCATGAAAATGTGATTTCTACCATTTGAAGTAATTAATATTTAATAGAAATAATATTTGATATTTGTGTCCATCTTTTAAATTTGATTTGGCTACTAGAGATCAGCTGATGTGGGGTTTAATGGCCGATACAGAGTCGTAGATATCAGAGAAGTGGATCATTAAACATGCTAATTCAGTTTTTTTGACAAATTGTGACAAATTTTAATTGCTGAACCTTTTTAATTTAACAACAATTTAAAGAGACACCAGATCATCGTCTTATGGTCGATGTGAAACTCAAAAATCCATTGTTGAGATTGGTCCATAAATGCATCATTAGCATTCATACGCAATAAAAAGTAGTAATATTTCTGGGAACGCTGCATTGCTAAGCGCTGAGTCATGATGGCAACAAAACTTCATGTGTAAGTTTCACCTCCAGAATCCTAGTTTCCCAGTTGATTCTGAATAGTGATTAGTTATCGTCTTAATTATGGATGTTTGGATGAATCACATTTAGCCAAATATGAAAGCAGCAGATCAGAGCCGTTCGGGGGGTTTTGGGAATTGACATTATGGTAAATGGTAAATGGCCTGTATCTGATATAGCGCCTTCTAGAGTCCTGGAACCCCCCAAGGCGCTTTACAACACAATCAGTCATTCACCCATTCACACACACATTCACACACTGGTGGGGATGAGCTATGATGTAGCCACAGCTGCCCTAGGGCGTACTGACAGAGGCGAGGCTGCCGAGCACTGGCGCCACCGGTCCCTCCGACCACCACCAGCAGGCAAGGTGGGTTTAGTGTCTTGCCCAAGGACACAACGACAGCGACAGACTGAGCGGGGCTCGAACCTGCAACCTTCCGATTACGGGGGGAGCACTTAACTCCTGTGCCACCGTCACCCCATTAGTAAACAAAGGTGAATTGATGCAGCTCTAAATAAGATCTTGATCATTATTGTGTACTCTCTTTTATAATGATCCCAAATCCAGCCCACTTCTGGCCTTAAAGTGACGGTGTGTATTTTTCCTGGCGATAGGGGCAGTAGGCCCCTAAATCGTTGCAAGCAAGCAGTATTTTTGTGTTGGGGTAAGACCTTACCAATGGATGCCCATTAGGGTCCAAAAGCCCTGGGGAGGGCAAACTTTAGCAACATAAGCATATCAGACTAGAGGGGCTGAAAAAAATCGATTCAAGTCTGAGTCAGGATTCTTATTTATAAAGATTCAGAATCGATTCACAAAGGTTCA